CCCTCTCTCTCTCTTCTCAGCATTAGCAGCAACCGGATTCAACCCCCCACACACTACCCGAACCCTTGCAACCCCCCCCCCACCTCCCGCAGGGTTGACGTTGGAAGAATTTTGAAAGACGCACGGAAGGGGTATTAGGGTTTAGGGTTTGGGACCTGGAGGATCGCGCAGGTGTGATGACCGAAGAGGTGACACGCCACGACAGAATGCACCTTCCCTGGCCCCAGTCCAAACACCGCTACCTGCTCAACAACCATTTCAAACTCGTCAAATCCCACAGTGGTCAAAACGTAAGAAACACTCTTTTTCTGAACGTAAGAAACTCCCGCGGCCCTACCGACCCGTGCCCCTGTGGCCAAGGTGGTAAGGGAGGCACACCATAAGCGGGAGGTCCCGAGTTCGAACCTCGAGAGGTGGGGCATTTCTTTTTGGGGGACCTGTCTCCCTTCCACACGAGAATGCTAGAGGGGCCTATCTAAAAGTGAGTTGTAACATTTGTGTAGTAACTTTCCTGAGATTGGTCACGCAACTCTGAAAAAATTAGCACAGTCACGAGGTTGAAATACACTATCCTGGTACAAATATTTACAACCCCACATGTAAATAGGTTCTTCCAGTATTCTCGAGTGGTCTGCTGGCCTGAAGCGGAGAGGTGGGGAGAAGTTGCCAAGTTTTGGCAACTTGTGCACCGCGGGTTGGCCCAACCTTGAAGATTCTTCACCGCCAAGAGTACACATAATGTCTATCCGTAGGCTTCACTCTAGCCACTTCGGCAGATGCAGGACCCCTCATCACTTGCTCTGCACGACTTGCTCTGCGCGACTGCTAGGGTTTCTGGTTTCGTGTTTCTTCTTCCGGAAAGCGTCTGCTTTCTGCTTTCTGGCTTCTGCTTTCTGCTTTCTCATTCCGCTTTGCGGTTTAGGGATAATGATTGAGGGTTCAGGATTCAGTTCAGGGTTTAGGGTTTATAGTTTAAGGGTTAGGGTGTAGGGTTTGGGGTTTAGGGTTTAGGGTTTAGGGTTTAAGGTTTAGGGTTTAGGGTTTGGGGTTTAGAGTTTAGGGTTTAGTGTTTAGTGTTTAGGGTTTAGTGTTTAGGGTTTAGTGTTTAGGGTTTAGAGTTTTAGGGTTTAGGGTTAAGAGAGGGGTTGGGCTACCGGGTTCGGCTTTTCGTCCTGACTGTCAATGCCAAGCTTGCCATGGTAATTGTCGCCCCAGCACACTGCCGATCCGTCGCTCTGCACCACGAGAAGACATCATTGTTGAGTAACTACCCCCCCCCCTCCTCCTCTCTCTCGCGCTCACTCTCTCTCTCACCCTCTCTCTCTACCCTCTCTCTCTACTGTCAAGGTGGGGGCGCCGTTGCCCCAGCACCACACCGATTCGTTGCCCTCCAGGGTTTGGGGTTGAGGGTTTAGAGACACCCCCCTCTAGGACCACCAAGCGCCCCCCCCCCCCAGGACCACCATAGGGCCCTATGCATAGGCCTGCTGCAGGGCCCTAGGGTGGGGCGGTTTCTTGTGAGCGAGGAACCCCTGTACACACGGCGGGCTTCGAGGGTTTCGAGACCACTAGATTTAGCGGTAACGTGACCAAATTGCATGAGAAGATCCTTAAAGTTAACTGCCCACAGGGTAAGTTGACTTTTTGATGAAAGGTCCGTGGTTGACTGTGGCAATGCCAAGCTTCCCAGAGTCGCCCCAGCACGAGACCACGACATTAGGGTTTAGTGATTGAGGTTGAGAGTTTAAGGTGTGGGGTTCAGGTGAAACCCAGAACCCATAACCCCCCCCAAAGATTCCCGAAAGCCCCAGCACGAGACCGCGCCGTCGTCCTCTCGGGTTTCGGGTTTGGCGTTTGGCGTTTGGGGGTTAGGGTTTGGAGGTTAGGGTTGAG